AAAGAAAAAAAGAAGACTCTTCAAATGAGGAAATGACAATTTCAATAGGCAAAATTGGACTGCTGCTGCCTGCAGAAAACTGAAAAAGGATCCAAATCTCACATCATATAAAAAATGAACTCAAAGTGGATCAGAGACTTGGAATTAAAGCCCCAAATCAGAAAGTTCATCACAAACTGGCATTATTGGTTCTTAATCTTACTCCCTGAAATCGTTAAATGTCAATCAGTTCTTTCTGGTGCAGAGACTGTATCTTCCCATCTTCTTTTGATGCTCCCCACATCATTGAATTTTACCCATAGAGCTCTTCAGGATTTACACTAGAGGCAAGAACTCTTTCTTCAGTTTAATAGACATTGAACATCTTTTTCCCTTTTACTTTTCTAACTCTAGGTCTTTGCCTAGTTCATTATTATAGTTTATTTTGTCTTTTTAAACTTTTCTTTCAGATCTATTGTTCAGCTCTGTTCTATCATCAAAAAAACCCCTATGTTTTGGCTTCTGTATGTTGAAGAGCCTCTTCAGACATTGATTATAGTCTTTTCCTTTTTTCTGTCTTTGTACTGACAGATTGATTCTTCATGAATTATATCCTAGATATCATCTGATCTTTAGTCATCATCCTCTAGTTTATCTAGTCTTCAACCACTAGTGTTCATTGCTTCAAATCTATTCTTGAAATAGTTTTTAAATTCACGTGGGATAAATTCAAGGTCATATTTTTTGTTTTCGTGAACTTGTTTTAATTGTCTTCAACTTTAATTTGAACTTGCACATGAGTAATTGATGATCTGTTCTACAGTCATTCCCTGGCCTTGTTTTGATTATCGATACTGAACATCTCCATCATTTCCTTCCACGAATGTAATCAATCTGAGCCCTGTGTAGTCCATCAGGAGAGGTCCACGTGTATAGACACAGTTTATGCATCTAAATAGGCAGACAATTAAAGGCCAACATTTATGGACAGGTGAAAAGGGCTGTATCCATGACCAAACATAGATTTTCAGATTATATTTCTATATTCATATTTGTATCTATTGTAAATATATCCACAAGTACACTATTGCTTTTGTTGTTGTTATGCACTGTCATGTTGGAACTAACACAGTGTGTTTTCAGAGGCAAGAAATTGCACAGGAGTAGATTACCCATTTTCCTCCCTGGAAGCAGCTGGTGAATTTGATCCATATACCTTTGCAGTGGCAGCACATTTCCTTAAAACTAGTTAGCATCTTGGTGGTGGTCACATCAGTCATGTAAGGGAAGTGTTTTGGGGCCATGTGTTTGATGTGTGTTACTGCTCTTCCCCCCCCCCCCAACAGTGTGTATCCTTGAGCCTTTGGCCAAAGGTGGAGGTTTGTTTGAGGCTGTGGCTTTAAATTCCCGCAGGGGCCAAGGGCCACAGGCCCATTCATTTTTGAATGAATATTCTTTAAATGACACAGCGATCTTTTATCTATTTGCTGAACTGAACAACTTGGTGTTGCTGTTATGCCGCACACTGTTGCATAGTCTTGTCAAATAGTGTAATTACTACCCATTATGTACAATGTTTGGATGAGCTTCCAGATTGATGTATGCTGGGAAGCAGGAGTGACAGCCACTTCCCAAACTAGATACATCTGGAAACTCTACAAACTCTCTAAATGTACAGAAATGATGTTGGTTATAGAACAGAGTTCAGGTCTTTTGTGCAAAGCTTACTCTCAGTCAGTCATATTCGACTTAATGATACTTAACCACTGTTAAATGAGACTAGTGCTGCTATAGCTGGAGGAACACTCTTCCACTTTGTCCATCGTTCTTTGTCAATGTTCTGGGTTTGCTGTGATGCTGAACATTGTGCCATTGGGTTATCAAATACCAGAATGGATTCCAAAGATGGACAGTGTTTTGTGGAGCTCCCAGTTGTAAACAGGTTTAGAGGCAGGAGTGGCATCCACTTCCTAAACCACATGCCTCTGGAAGCTCTATGAACTTGGAGAAATGATGACAGTTCTAGAAAGGCATTAGGTCTTTTGTTCATAGAGTCTCTATGAATAGCGCTCAGCTCAACAGCAATCAACAACAACAACAACAAGCCACTACAGCTCCCTGTATATAGTATAGTTAATTGGTGGTTGTTGTTATGTTCTGTCGAGTTGTTTGCGACTCATAGAGACCCTATGTACAACAGCCCTAAACCCTGCTCTATTCTGTGCCAATTGCACTGCCTCTGACACACCCATCCCGATTACCCCAGTCACTGAATCAATCCACCTCATAGAGGGCCTTCCCCTCTTGCACCGTCCTTCCACCCTCCCAAGCATGATGTCCCTCTCTCTCCAAGGACCCATCCCTCCTTGCAACATGCCCAAAATGTGTCAGATGAAGCCCCAGAATCCTTGCCTCCAAGGAGTTGCTTGGTTTAATCCTCTCCAGGATGAATCTGTTTGTTTTCTTGGCAGTCCATGGTACATTCAATACTCTTCTCCAGCACCACAGCTCAAAGGCATCAATTCTCCTTCTGTCCTCCCTAGTCATTGTCCAACTCTCTGATGCATAACAAGTGATTGCAAAGACCATGGCCTGTATCAGGTGCACCTTAAACTCCAGAGAGACACCGCTGCTCTTGAGTACTTTAGAGAGGTCCCTAACAGCAGACTTTCCCATCGCGATACGTTTTTTGATTTCCTGACTGCTGGTGCCAAGAGTGTTGACCGTGGAGCCGAGCAAACTGAAGCTGTGAACAATCTCAATCTCTTCACCATCCATCCTGATGCTACTACCAATTGGTCCAGTGGTGAGAATCTTTGTCTTCTTGACATTGAGCCTCAGTCTGTACTGAAGGCTGCAGTCCTTGACCCTCTGCAGCAAGTGCATGAGGTCCTCCTCAGTTTCAGCAAGCAGTGTTGTGTCATCTGCATAAGGCAGATTGTTGATAGATCTTCCACCAATCCTGATGCCACAATTCTCCTCATAGAGCCCAGCCTCCTGGATAATCTGCTCTGCATACAGGTTGAAAAGTTATGGAGACAGGATGCATCCATGGCATATGCCCTTCCCAATTTTGAACCATGCAGTGTTACCCTGCTCTGTTCTGACAACTGCCTCTTGGTCCAAGTATAGGTTTCGCATTAGCACGATCAAATGTTCGTTCTGGGATTCCCATTATTCTCAGAGTCAGCCAAAGTTTGTTATGATCCACACAGTCAAACACCTTTGCATAATCAATGAAACACAGATAGACATTCTTCTGGTGTTCTCTGCTTTCAGCAAAGATCCATCTAACATCAGCTACAATATCCCTAGTACCACGACCCTTTCTAAATCCAACCTGGACTTCTTTCTGGCACTTTTCTGCTGATGTGCCGTTCCAGTCTTTTCTGGATAATCTTCAGTAGAATCTTGCTTCCATGTGAAATCAATGATATTGTTCTGTAGTTTCCACACTCAGTTGGGTCACCCTTCTTTGGAATGGGAACAAATATAGATCTCTTCCAATCTGTTGGCCAAATGGTTGTTCTCCAGATTTCTTGGCACAACATGGTGAGCACATCCAGGGCAGCATCTGTTAGCTGAAATACTTCAATTTTTTGCCATATCCTTCAAAGCAGCTTGAACTTCTTCCTTCATCACCATAGGCTCTTGCTCATATGTTATTTCATTAAATTCTTCTGTATCTGCCAATTCCTTTTGATACAATGACTCAGTATATTCCTTCCATCTTCTTTTCATACTTCCTGGATCATTTAATATTAATTAATTAATTAATATTAATTGGAGTCAATGCTAAAGTAGCTTCTTCATTATAATCAGACTTCTTAAGTGAATGAATTGCTAGTTTTGAGGACTTAGCATCATAGTCTGAGGGTGGGCCGTCAAGGTCAGTTAATAAAGTATAGTTTACAAAAACAATATTCTGCTTTGGAGAATAGCAAATGAGGTCTTAAAATCTTGTAAGAAGCCATCTGTGGTACAATTATTTCTCTGTCTCACTGTCTGGAACAAAGAAGAGGGGAAACAGAAATGATGAACTGAAACAATTAGTTCAAAGCCTTAACTTCCACTACTCTGAGATCAGGAGAAAAAACTGGTGCCCGGCCACTACCACTGACTACTCTAAATGGCATTACAGTAGAAGATCTTTGATAAATTGAGGGGAAATGTGAAACAAACAAAAATTGCACGAATCCCAGGGTTACTAACCTGATGGAGATTGATTATAACCATGAGACTATGACCCATAGTCACCATGTGAACCTGGAACAAAACTCATGACTCAAGTTTCAGCCAAACAATAGGCAGATATATTAGGGGACTATTGGCACCAGGGATGCATTCATTCCTTAGAATAATCAGCCATATCGTTTTAAAGGAGTAGCATTGGCCTAAAGATAACGCCCAGAAAGCAGAATGGTGTTGAATAGAAGGATTAATGGAAATAAGGTAGTAATTGAAAAGACCATGGGTTGAATCAGGCACCCCTTAGTCTTCAAACAGATATTGTTGCTCTTTAGCACTTTGAAGAGGTCCTTGACGGGAAATTTTTCCAGTGTAACATGTCCTTTCATCTTTTAACTGCTTCTTCTATGAATGTCAACTGTGGATCCAAGTCAAATGAAATTTTTGACAATTTCAATTTTTTATCCATCTATAGTGATACAGCCTAATTGCGCAGTGGTGAGAAGTTTGGTTTTGTTGATGGTAAAGTGTAATCCATATTTTTTTTCTTGTTGTATACCATTGAATCAGATCTGATTAGCACAAGAGGAGACTGATCTTCCTTCTCCAGAAGAGCATCTGGTGGATTTAAACCATGTGCCTTTGGGATTGTAGTGCAGTTTCTTGCCACTAGGCCACAGAGCTCCCTTGTAATTCATATTGAAGGCTGTAGTCAATAATTTTCTGCAGCAAGTGTTTCAAGTTCTCTTCACTTTCAGTTAGCAAGGATGATGTCTAACTTCGTTGTTTTGGAGTCAGACAGATTCATAGCTGACATTCCAGCTATGAGGCAGCAAATTGCACAGGAGGAGATTGCCCATCTTTCTTACACAGAGCTGCTGGTTTATTCCAACTGAGTATCTTTGGGATAGCCACACTGCTCCTTACCACTAGACCACCAGAGCTCACATGCTTTGGCACAATTTGAGGAGGGACTAGTCCTTGGAAAAGAACATCATTCTGGGAAAGGTAGAGGGTCAGAGAAAGAGAGGAAGAACCCCAATATGATCGATTGACACAGTGGTTGTAATAGTGAACTGGAGCATGTCAGAGATTGTGAGGATGTGGCAGGACAGAGCAACATCCAGATCTGTTGTTTATAGCATCACAATAGGATGTAATTGACTCAGTGGTACCCAGTGCAATCACACAATGCCACCAGAGTCTCCTTTTAAAAATATTGCAGTTGTTATGTACTA